GGGACGGGGGCTGCAGGATGGGGGGTGCGGGGTGCCGGGGGATGCAGGACGGGGTTTGCAGGGTGCTGGGGGATGCAGGATGGGGTTTGCGGGGTGCCGGGGGATGCAGGATGGGGTTTGCAGGGTGCCGGGGGATGCAGGACGGGGTTTGCGGGGTGCCGGGGGATGCAGGATGGGGTTTGCGGGGTGCCGGGGGACCGCAGTCGCGGCCGGGCTGTCCCCGCGGGCTGTCCCTGGTGCCGTGCCGGGCCGGGCCGGTGCTGGGCGCTGCCGCTCAGCGAGCGAGGGAGGGAAGGAGGGGCGGGTGAAGGGATTGGCCGCCCCGAGCGAGAGCCGGCCCCGCCGGGCGGCCGCTGCCCGGGACATTCCCCGCCCGCAGCTCCCGGGGCGGCCGCGGCTGCTGCGGCTCCGGACCATGGACAGGCTCAGCGGTGAGGGCACGGGATGGACGGGATGGATGGGATGGATGGGGTGGGATGGATGGGATGGACGGGATGGGATGGATGGGATGTGACGGAACGCGGAGGGCACACGGGATGCCCGTGCCAGGCGCAGGGAATCGCGGGTCGCGCATCCCGTCCCAGCCCAGCGGGTGAATCCCAGCGGCTCCATGCGGGACCCTGCTCCCAGCGTGTTTTTGCTCCAGTTCTCCAGCAGGGCCGGCCGGGGCACGAACTGGAACCAGTTTCTCTTTGTTGGTCGGATGCGTAAAACACCGGGAGCCTGCAAGGGAGGCTGTGGGGTGTAAGCACTTGTTAGGGGAAATTGTGGTGGTGGAAAGGGAGGTGACGCTCCTGATGGAGCTGATCGGGTTCAGAGGGTTTCCCTGGCTGGGGAGACGCCGGTGAAGCCGCGGAGGGGCCGATCCCCACCCTGCTGGGGAGCAGCTGCCTTCCCACACGTGTGCCATTCCTGCCTGCAGCCTGTGGCACCGGGCTCCCGGAGCTCCTGGGCTTTGATCTGGGATCTGTATAAACCTGCCAGGGCTCTGGGCCAGCTCTGCAGAGAAGGTCCTGGCTTTCTGCTGGGGCTGCCAGGTCCCTGGAGGGAGCAGAGGGAGGTTTGCAGGGGGATTGCTTCTCGCTGCTGCTGCTGATTGCAGCCTGGGGCTGCACGGGAGGAGCAGGTGGTGACATGATGGAGCACGGGGGTCCTGGCCCTTGACCTGTCCTTGGAGCTGCTACAGAAACACTGGCCAAAAACGATAAGAGACTGGCCAGGGGCCTCTCTGGCCGCACGGGCTGGACCACGCTGAAGTCCTCAGGAGTGCTGTGTCTGCAGCCCTGGGTCAGCACCACACAGACCCAGGGGTCAAGAGTTCCCCTCGCCGATGTAAAAGGATGGGGTGGCGTTTCCGCAGTGGAAACAGCTCTGAGGAGTTTGGGACTGCTGGAAACACAGGCACGGTGTCAGTGCTTGGGGAGCGGTGCCAGTGGCCGGGAGGGGACAGGGACGGTGACAGGGACAGCCGTCCCCGGGGGCTGTGTCCAGCCACGGTGGCTTTGCCAGCTCTGAAGGAGGGAGCTGTGGCAGGAGGGGGAGCTTTGTCAAGTGACACTTGATGCCAGGGCTGTCCTTCAGAGGACATCACTGCTGGGACAGGGGCGAGCAGAGCGCCTCGGCTCCTGCACGCTCCTGCTGTGTGAGCTGATGGGAAATTCCCTCTTTGCACCTCAGCCCACCCCAAAAATCAAACCCGGGACATCATGGCAGGGAAGGAGGGGATGTCCAGCTGAGGGAGCTGTGTCTGAGCATGGTTTGGCCTCTTCCTGCCAGGGAAGAGCTGTTTAATCCCCCTCGCTGGTGCCTGCCATGGCAGCCACAGCAGCGCCTGCCTGTGATGAATTGCTGTTGCCACCTGGATGGTTCTTTGCTAATGTAAACCTCCCCCAGCCCCTCCTGCCCATCATCCAGAGCTGCTGGATCCCTCTGGGGGCTGTAACTCCTGGAGGGAATGTTCCCTTCCCCAGTGAAAGGGTTAAGCAGGAGCTCTGTGCCCATTCCCAGTCTCTGGCTGATCTCTGGCAGTTCCTTTCCTCACCTGGAGCTCTGCTCAGGCCCTGCTGTATCCTGGTTTTATCATCTGCCAGTTTTTCCTCGTTCTCAGTGCCCAGTGCATGGCCCAGCTCTCCACCAGTGCTGACTGGGGGGAATGGTGCTGTAGGCTCTTGGCAGAGTTGTTTTGGGTTGTGCTGATGGAGAGCCCAGCTCCCAATGTGTGATTTGGGAGCCGATCCCTTGCTCAAACACGCCTGTGCTCACACATGGCCTCTCCCCCCTCATTAAGTGTCTCTTTCCTGACCTTTTGAGCCACCGGAATTTAGGTCCTGCCCCAAACTTATCTGGGCTCTAAATCCAGGAAAGCCGGTGGAGATGTGTCAGGGATAAACTTGGCTCCAGCTCGCCCACAGGAATGGGGAGGCTGCAGGACGGGTGGGAGGGAGCCGGGATCATTCCTGCGAGCTGGCAGCAGGAATCCTGCCGGTGGAAGGGCTCTGGGGTGCTGAGAAGCACAGCCCGGGCCAGCTGTTAGCGCCGGGCAAGTGCCGAGCTCTCCTCGCATTGCAGCCATTCCTTCCGCTGGAAACTCAGCCACCGCCTGTTTCCAGCCCGGGGGTGGTGGGGAGGGGGCTGAGCCCCCTGGGCTGGGTAAAACAAGGTGGGAGGCGGCCCTGGGGATGCTGATGGAGTGCTGGAGTTGTTCGCCCCTCTGGATTTTTCCAATATCCTGCTGTGTGCAGATTTCCCTTTGCAGGGAAACCCTGGGTCCGTGTGAAGGCTCCTGGCAGCTCTGCAGGGGCACAGAGGGGCTGGGCTGCTGGACAGGGGAAGGCCACTCTGGAATAGTGTCCCCCCAGCCAGGAGCCCTGGGGACTGTCCCATCTGCCTGCAGTGCCTGGAAAACCTGCCTCTTTTCCTCTCTTGACCTGGAAATGCTCTTTTCCTGTGCTAACGTGCTGAGCTGCGAGCCTGCCGTGCCCTTTGCTGTGGAGCAGCGCCCGAGCTCCCACGGGCCTGCAGGAGGTTCCTATCCCTGCCCAGGAAAACTTTGTTTAAGGTTTTGAAGAAGTTGTCTCATCCCAAGCAGTGGGAAGCCCTTTCAGAGGAGAACACTGGGCCAGACCCAAGCTCTGCCTGTTGTGCAGTAGCCAAATCACTTGCTGGGGACAGGAGATAACAGTGGAGCAGAGTGGAGGCTTGAAGTGGTTTCTGGCATCCCAGACTTGTGTCCTAACCCCTTAACCCTTCCCTATTATCTAGCCTGGCACAGCTCAAACTCCCTCCTGAGGAACACATCTCCTCCTGCATATAAGGAGCTTTAAAAACGAATGACACAACTCTCCATCCAGTAAAATATCTATTAAATGTCACTGTCCCAGGGCAGCAACAAGACAATGGGGCTGGAAACTTTTCACTGCCAGCCCTGCAGAAACAAGGGGCTGGCACCCCAGCCAGGGCACCCTGGCAGGCAGCAGCCGCCTGTCATCACCCCGAGGTGCTAATTTGGGGAGCTCAGGTCTGATTCTTGATATTCTGGGCCGACAATCTGCAGAGGAGAAGGATAAAATAACCTCCCTGAGCCTCCCCCCGCGGCACTGCTGCTGCAGCCCCTTCCTTTCCTGCTCCTGATAAAGCCTCCCGTGGCATCAAAGCCGCCTCTTTGGCAGGCAAGGGAGAACACTGACATTTCCCAACAGTTCGGAACAAAACCAGCTTTGCTGCAAGGGGTTTCCATGCTCAAACTAATTTTTTTTTCTTTTTTTTTGAAGTGGTTTTCATGTGCATTTGATCCTGGAAGTGATAAGAGGGAGCTCGGGGAGATGCTGGCATGCTCTGATTGCTGGCAATTAGCAGGAGATGTGTAAGGAGCACTTTGAAGAATGGCTTTGGCTTTCTCCCGGGGTTTGTTTGAGCATTAAACCCACCCAAGTTTCTGATGGAGGAACAGCTGCACATTCTATGATGTCCAAAATTTTGGGAAACAGTGCTTGTGAAGGACAGAACAAGGAACAGAACTTAAGTAGCAGCAGGTTAAAAGCAGGTGAACCAGTGCCAGCGCTGCTGGAGCCGCCGGCAGTGACCAGTCCCACCTTGTCACCTTTCCCGCTGGGATATCCCGGTTTTCCTGCCCCTCCAGCCCTGCCCTGCAGGGGTTAACCGGGTAGGAAATGCTGTCGGATGGTGGCCTTGCCTCTGCACCTGATGCTCCCGGCGGAGCTTGGCAAGGGAAGGAAAGGGAAGGGCTGAGAAAATAACGCTTATCCTGCTTGCCGAGGGTCCTCCGGGACAGCACGGCCCCAGCCCCCACACACAGGGACCCTGCTGTGCCTGGGGACATGGGGACAGGGCTGAGGTGGCCACTGAGAGGGTTCCAATCCCTGGGATTCCTGTCTGGCACAGCTCTGGAACTCCTGGGCATTGTGGGGGTCGGGGCAGGGATGCCAGGGCTGGGGGCTGGGTGCACATCTCCCTCCCCCAGATCCACAGGGATATTTTTCCCCCCAGGATCTGTGGTTTCTCCCCCCACCAGATCTGCAAAGAAGGATCCACATTCTGCTGTTGAAGGCATTTGGGAAAGTGCAGTGGGATTTGGGAAAGCTGATCCACCAGCTCCTTCCTGCAAATCCCTGCCCATCCCCTGCTTGGTGAGGGTTTGGATCCTCCTCTCCTTCTCAGGATCCTGTCACAACTTCCCCGTGTGACTTTTCCTCCCAAGATGTGCCAGCTCTGGTGGCCTCCCCATGTCTCGCTCCTGCAGGTTGGGAATTGCATCCAAGGCGTTTTGGAACTTGGCTTTGGGCAATGGGAATGCGTAGGACATGGAGAAGTGTCTCTTGGGGTGCAGAGAGCTTTCCACCCCAAGCAGAGGAGATTTTGGGGATGTGGGGGCTGGATTCAGCCCTGGGTGGTTGGTGTGGACTGGTGGGAACGAGGGTTTCCCGCTAGAATGCTTGCAATTAGCTGGAATTCCCACAATTAGCTGGAATTCCCACAATTGGCTGGAATTCCTGCACTTAGCCTCTGACTCTCCTGGAGGCTGAAGTTTGGAGACCAAGGGCTGCAGAGAGGTGCCAGCTCCAGGTGCCCAGAGGCAGGAAGGTGTGACCCAGGCTGGCTGCTCACTGCTCTGCCCACCGCAGAGGGTGGGCACAGGGGTGGGCAAAGGCTTGGGGCACCATCCCAGGGCCTCTCCCAGTGCTGGAGAGGAGCCCAGGCCAACCTGTTGCTGGAGTTTGTTTGGAAAAGGCCGACACCAAAATTTTGGTTGGAGGAAACACAGTTTATTCTGGGTTCTGAGTAATCCTAACATCTCTCCTCTGCCTGAAGCTTGTTTTTTATACATTACTCAGCAGGTCTCACCCCTGCCTGACTATTCCTTTAAAGGGCATCTCAAACCTCTCCTTTTCATTCATTATTTAAATGTGTTTTC